CCTTTGCATTCCACTTTAACAGCACTGCTAGATATCACTGACAAATGGTATTCCAATATGGACAATGGTTTAATCAATGCTATACTTTTTATTGACTTAAAAAAGCTTTTGATACCATTGACCATGAAATTCTTCTAAATAAATTATCTCGATATGGTTTTAAATGCAAGACCATTGAACTTTTCCGCGATTATTTAACGGGACGTACTCAAATAACTGTTGTTAACAATATCCCATCTGATAGCTCTGATATTACATGTGGGGTTCTTCAAGGATCCATTTTAGGACCATTGTTATTCTTGTTGTACATTAATGACTTACCAAATTGTAACTTGATATCTGATGGACATCTATATGCTGATGATACTAGCTTGACATATGCGAATAACGACATTAATCAACTACTCTCCGTAATGAATAGTGATTTACTTTCGCTTAGAAATTGGCTTAACATAAATAAGCTCAGTCTAAATACACTTAAAACAAAATGTATGTTCATCGCAACTCGACACAAATTAGCTACCTTACCAAGTCAACCAACAGTGGCCATCGATGGCAATATCATTGAGCGAGTTAAAAAATACAAATGCTTGGGCTTGGAGCTGGATGAGTGCTTGATGTGGGATGAACATATTGCTCAAATTACCTCAAAAATTACCAAAATAATTGGAGTTTTAAGGCGATTAAAATCATATATTCCGCGTCGTATCCTAATTTTAATCTACAAATCTTTGATTCAACCACATTTTGATTATTGCAGTAGTGTTTGGGGTAACTTGGGTAAGGGTCTGGCACAAAAACTCCAACAATTGCAAAACAGAGCCGCTCGTATTATTAATGGTTATCACTATAGTGTCCGCTCACACGTGGTTCTAAGTGAATTAAATTGGTCAAACCTAGAAGAAAGACGATCTCAGCAATTTAAAACGCTTATGTTTAAAACAATGAATAAGATGGTTCCAGATTATCTTTTGGATAAATTTACGTTCGTTAATCTGGTTCACAACCATAATTTACGAGGCTCTAGTTCTAAACAATTCATACCTAGTAGACCTCAGACTGAGGCTCTCAAAAAAAGCTTTACTTATTGGGGAACTGTTCTGTGGAATAGCTTGCCTGTGGAAGCGATTAATGCTAAATCAATTGCTGAATATAAGTCTCATATAGCTTAGTTTATAAATTACTTCTTTAATTGTACATATTTAATTGTATTAATCTAATTATAGGCTACTTACTTAATTGTTTTTATTATAGCTATAGTTGTCTACATATATTTGGTAGTTTTGCATGGCTCCAGGGAAGAGCACACTATGTGAATTGGACTCCGTGTTTTTAAATAAAATCCTAATAATAATAAAAATGTTCAAAGTTAAATATATTCCAACAGCAGCAGGGATGACGAGATCATCAAGTTAAATATTGAAAGCTAAGTATGTTCCAACAACAGCAGGGATGACGAGATCATCAAGTTAAGTAGATTCCAAAAGCAGCACAATGACGAGATCATCAAGATTATTGTTCAAAGTTAAGTATATTCCAAAGGCAGCACAATGACGAGATCATCAAGCTAAATGTTCAAAGTTAAGTATGTTCCAACAGCAGCAGGGATGACGAGATCATCAAGGCAATTGTTCAATGTTAAGTATCCAACAGCAGCAGGGATGACGAGATCATCAGGATAATTGTTCAAAGTTAAGTATATTCCAACAGCAGCAGGGATGACAAGATCATCAGGATAATGTTCAAAGTTAAGTATATTCCAACAACAGCAGGGATGATGAGATCATCAAGTTAAATGTTCAAAGTTAAGTATATTCCAACAGCAGGGATAACTAGTGCAAGTTATTAAAATTTTCAGCTTCTTAATGCCGACTTTCTTCGTTGAGAGTTGGATTTTGTCGTGCAAAGGTATTCATCACTTCGTCAACGTTTAGAGTATCGATGTGCATCAAAGCTAACCCGTTTAATCTCTCGTTTGTCATTGTGGTTCTTAGCCAAGTCTTTATGCGCCACAAAGCTGAGACTGAACGTTCACATTCACAAGTGGTGACAGGTATAACTGCCAGGATTTTAAGGGCCACATAAATATTTGGGAATGCAAGTTCATTGCAATTTCTTAGAGTATCAGCGATGTTGTCATTCCAACTGGTTTCCCATAGGTCTAACTCTGCATGAATTCTGGCCATGAATTTCATAAATTCAGTCTTCCAATTCACACCTTTGCAGTGAAGAAAGTTGCTAGGAATTACATAAAAGCAATTGTAAAGATTGCACATCTCCGACGGAAAACGAGATTCGATTTCCCTGCTGACATGGTCAAGAAGTGGAATGGTTAGCTTTAACCTGTAGTAATCACATGCTGTGTTGGTGGGATAATTATCACGGTTTGTCTGAACATCACATATCCTGGGAATCTTGGGATCGCACAATTTTACCTTCCAGCTAATTCCAGTGCCTTGTCGTAGTATAGATTATGATACTTGTCGACAGAAGAACGTAGTTTCGCCAGGTTATCCTTTAAAACATTGATGTGCTTAAGGGATCCTGCGATGTCGATTTTCTTTTGCTGTAGTTGGACTGTTAAGGATAAGGTATGATCCAGAATATTCTGTGTGATAACAAGAGCAACAACAAAATCAAACTTTTCCACTTGACGGAAATGCGATTCAGCATCACTGGGTTGACTTTTTGAATTCATTATGGTTTCCTCCAAATTGCATATAATTCAATGTTTGGTAAATCACTACGAATGCATCCAGAAAAGTAACCAGCAAGCTTATTCTTTCTACCCAGCGTGTCGTAGATGGGGTTACTAGCTTCCGAAAGGTTAAACCAGCCTCTTCAATTTTCTCACTCAAAAATACTGCGAGCGTGTAGGAGAGCCGCTAAAAAAACTGACGATCTTTTGGGCCTGACCCAACATATTTTTGACTGGAAGAATGGAACTTGCTTTCGCCGCCACAAGATTTAAACGATGACTGGAGCAATGAACATAGATCGCTTTATGATTCTTCTGTTGGATACGTCCTGAAATGCCTTTTCTTTCGCTGGAAGTAGTATTAGCCCCCCCTCCCCGTATAGCGGTGGAAGTCCCGTATAGCGGCGGAAGTAATTAGTATGCAGGAGCGAATAGAGCGCCGGAAGTAATTAATATGCAGGAGCGGCGGAAGCAATGACGTCATGGAAACCCGAAAGTAAGGAAATGTTCAGAATGGCGTACAACGATGAATATTTGAAAACAATTTATTAGGTTTTACAGTAGTTTACAGTAGAGATTTTGATAATTATGTTTTTAGAGTTTGTGCCAGATGCATCCACAGAAGGTTAATTCACCACATTCTAGCGAAAATTCGAATGTCAGCTTGGCCAGTATTTCCTTTAGTATTTCCGTACAGTTCTTATGGATCGTTGTTTGACAGCATCTGGTTTTGTTCAGTTCTTGTCTGTTGCTTTTGTTCTGTAGGCACAGATAACAGAGTTCCTTGTCCGGGAATGGTGCTCTGCAGTACCCGCACCGTACGGTTTCGATGTCTGTTCCGTTGTAATGTACCGCCCACATCTGGAGGCATCGACAATGAGCTTTTTGTTGACAGCATTGCATTGTCATCGTAAGTAGTTCGTTTCCATCAATCTGTTCCAAACAGAAATAGCACTGTCCCGGTTCTGTGGTATTTTCCGCCAGGATTCCGAATAGAGGTATATTTGCTGGTTGTATAACATCTTCAGGCGCAACCTCGTTCCCAGGGCTTTTCCCTTTTTGTCATTGGAAGGCTGGAAAAGGCCCTGGCACCGGCCGGTCACATGACTTTCAACACCCAGATATAGTGGGTGTAATAAATTATAATAATAATGAATTAGAAAATCCAAGATGGCCGCCAACGTAAGAGTGTCCACAAAATTTAAGTGCTTAGAGCGGCTTAAAAATACGTCTAGTTCCTTCTTTTTGCTACCGACGTACTCGAAATCAAATTCTTCAGCTTTTATTACATGGGAACTATGTAGTTGCTGTTCTTCCAACTGGGTTTGGTATAAAATATCGTTCGTTCGCTAAACAAAATTAACAGCCAAAATTATTATAGTATTACGACAGATGTTCTCCAGTTGGACAGGCTTGCTTAAGAGGACACGGAAAGTGTTTTGAACTGGGGATGTTAAACTTGGTTTTACCCTTCCGAAGACTCTGCTGTGCGACGATTGGAGCGAGTTTATGAGGAATATTTTATACAGTGATTCAAAGAAATGTACTGTATATGTTATTGATCTATTGTTGAATGTCACTTATGCACCTATCAATGTTAACCCCCAAAGGGGGGAGGGGTTCGGGCATATGTTGGGTATTTGATCATCAATTGCAACCCCACCCTGGGGATTTTGATTAGCATTTTGGCCCCGAGTTGGGGCATTTTGAACCGAATGACTTTTATTAATATAGTATTTATTGCAATCTATTGCAAAATGGTGGGGTATTTGACCAATATTTATTGCCCGATGGTGGAGCATTTGATTGAAAATTTGCTCAAAAAATCAAATGCCCCACCTATGCCCGACCCCCCTCTGGGGCTTAACACTGATAGGTGCATTATACTATAAAGTGTCAATGGTTGGAATATTTATTCATTGATATTTTAAACACAGATGAAGAGCTATGTGCCCTTTCCTTGTTTACGTTTTCCTTGCAGCCAAATGCTGTTGAAGCTGGCAAGCTGCGAGTGATATGACCCAAATATTGGATATGCATCTTAGTTTGCTTCCAGTAAAATGTAAACAAGACCTTAAGAATTCTATACAAGATAAGAAATATTACATTTAAAATCATGACTGGCAAATTAACATGTGCGAATTGATGTTTCCTAATAATAGTATGTACTCCAGTAAAGCTTGCTTGCTTCAATTGTTGCTGTTACCATCTGCACATTATCAGGGTGGAGAGTTGATTTGAATATTTTGTCCCAGCGCATAAAGGTAGGGAATAGATTTTCCATCACAAAAGGGGCAAGGTGCCCAACCAATTAGAAGATGGCATGTACTTTAAGTGACCATTCATTATACCCTAGGGTGGGTGGGGATTCTTATGTCAAAATGTCATGGGACCCCTTTTTAGTCTCTTAATTTAATAATGGAGACCCCTCCTAAATATTTAAGACTATATAACATGATGCAATTCTAATCTTCATTCATGTGAATGCCCGACTATGAAGAAAATACATTTTGCAACACAGGGATGGACCCAGAATGATTGCTTCCTTTGGATGATTTGTCTTAGAATTATATTACCTATATTACAACAATTCTTCCTGTTCTGAAACCAGTTGCTATTCTGTTTTTTACAACACTCACCCCCCCCCCCCCTAAACAAACCAAGACCTCCCTCCCAAGGCCTGCCAAAAAGCATTTAAATTCCCATTTTAAACGTTCTTATAAATTATATTTAACCCATTAGTGCAAAGAGTTCTGCCTAGACTTGCCACCAGTCGACCTCAAACGAAACGCAAGCAGCGAGTGTGAGCTGACGTTTCTTTCGAGGTTGACTTGTGGCAAGTCTACATTCTGCCCTTGAGTAAAATTGTCTGGCACCAGACGGAGTAATATACTAAAGTAGGGACATTGCCACTATAAAAGGTTAAACAAATTTTTAAAAAATTTGCAATGGTCTATATTCAAAAAGCTCTATTTGTAAATTTTAATTGACTTTTATATACCTACTTATACTTATAGCTACCTTGCCCTAGTCACTTCAAGTGAATTCTACTGGAGGAGAGGGACATTGAAAATCCCTGGGTTTACTTGGTAAAAGCAAGAATTGAACCATGCATTACATGTGTAAAGTCCTCGATATATTGTTATTTAAGAACTAAAAACTACATGTTCAACCATGCATTATATACTAATTACAATAACACCTAATTATCATATGTAGTAAACAATTAACTTACAAATGACCACACATCTCCTTTTCGAAGATAAATATTTTTATGTCTCTTAAATGTCATTAAATTACTTAATTCTAAATATCATTAAATTATTTAATTCTAAATGCGTTCTTTTTTTGTTTTTTTCTAATTTAAATCTAAGTGTTCTTTAATATTTAATTGTTTCTGATCGCTAAATTATAATTGTTTCAGTTCGTCAATCATATAAGTTCACAAATTGAGTCTATTAGGCGGTACAACAACACGTCCTGAACGAGTTCTCACGACATTGTCGGACGTACTATTGGGACATGAAATGTTCTCACTCGTACTGTCGTTCGTAGGTTGTGATTCTCTCATAACTGGTTCCTTTGGACTGGGTACTACTTGTTGTCTATTTCTTCTCACCGTGCCTTTTTCCGTTTGCACAATATATGATCTTGGTTCGGGTGACTTGGAAACAACAACTGCTGGAAAACTCATTTCTGGCAACCAAACTGTTTCTCCAGGACTCAGGTCAGACAAACATGTCGCTCTATGTCGCTTGTTGTAACGTTGTGTTTGTTGACGTTTGTATGTCTGTTCGTTCTTTCTTAATTGTTCCGCGTCTAATAACATAGGTTTCAGCTTTTCTGGAGATAAAGGCAAAGTAGAACGTAATTTGCATCCCATCAGTAACTCTGCTGGAGTGTGTCCGTTCTGTAGTGGTGTTGTTCTGTTAGGACAGTACAGCCAAATATGGATCTTCAGATTTGACAAATAGACTCTTTGCGGTCTTTACTGCCCTCTCTGCCTCTCCATTACTTTGAGGGTAATAGGGACTGCTTGTTAAATGAGTAAACCCCCATTCGTACGCAAATTTTGAAAAGGTAGCTGCAGAAAATTGCGGCCCATTGTCCGACATAACAATTTCTGGGATACCATGACGACAG